ATCTACAATCCTTGCCAAAGAATTCAGGGCTTTTTCTTCAGGAACAACAATAATGGCCACTATTTATTGAGGGCTCCTCTGTCCTCTGCATGTTAATTTCATTATTTTTAATTCTTACTACAATCCTGAAACACAGGTGAACAAATCCTTATTTTGCAGATTAAAAAAACTCCAGTTCTAAAAGGTGATCTTGCTCAAGATCTCAGCATTCTGTATTGCCAAAACAAGGATCAGGCCCTATATTTGCTTTTTTTTTTTACTGTACAATGCTGTTTGTGGCAGTTATACAGGGTCAGGTCCAACTTGGAATTAAATTCTGAACCCAAGTATATAAAATACTTTAAACATACAGGTATTTTGGATGTTACTGCTAATGTCATATCATTATAAGAGTCATAAAACTTGACCCTGTGTGTTCTTAACATTGTATTTTGAAAGAATCTATGCAACATCATAGAAGAAACTTAGTTTTCCTTTTTATCTTCTATATAAACAAATGCAAAACTAGCAATAATATTTTGTATCTGTATAATTTTTGTTTTGAGGAGGTAGTTTAGTTTTTATTTGGTTCGTTTTAGGGATGTTTTTCCATTTACATTTACAAAGCATTCATTTTATGTTTAGTATAAATCAATCCAAGAATGAAGCATCTTTAAAAGAAGTCAGCTTATTAAGAATTTCCCCTTCCAAACTTCTTCAGTCATGCAAAGCAAAGTTGCCTATATCATTAACTACTTGGCAAAAATAGCTCAGCACAAGCTTCTTTCTTTCCCACCCTAAAGTAACAGGCTCTATGTCATTTGCATAATTTGTCTCTTTAGTTCCTTCACTGTTTTCTCACTCTTCTTTGCTCTGTAGAGATCCCTCCTCCACACTTAAGTTTCCCATTGCCCTGTCATTCTCATTCCCTTTCTCTGATCACATAGAGGAAAAGCTAATATGGTCATGTAAACTTATTAATCACCTGTGCTTGCCAGACAGCATGTCCTGTGGAAACCTTGGTTTTTAGTGTTAGACAGACCTGGATTCAAACTGCAGCTTTATCACTTATTAACTTTGGGCCCAAGAAAAACTTACGCCATCTCTCTGACCCTCATTTTCCTTATCTGTAGAATGCAGATACCTAACTTTGGAGTATTGAAAAGATTAAGAAATTTTCTGAAAATTTATTGGGACAGTACCCTGTTTTCTTGCTTATTGCTGTTATTATTATTGGTGGGGTTACTCTTTACTGAAATTTATGCACAATCAAGTGTTTTTTAATCTTTAAACTTTTATGGCATCTTTACGCCATGCAAGACATTTTCCTCCCGTAAGTGAGTATCAGCCATAGATAATCATGTGGACAGTTGGGAAGACAGCAAGTGATCCTCTTGACCTTGGCTAGCTTTTCAGAGTAATCTGGGGTTGGCAGCTAGGGATGGGGTACATGGAATCCATGGTCTTACTCCACTTTTTACCCCTTTCTCTTGGTGAAACTACTGTGCCTCTTAGAGAAGGTCTTACAAACCTTTGGAAACAAGGAAGCCTGGGACCCCTCTCCCTGGACCTTGAGCCTAATCTTTTCTAGGCCAAGACAGCCTTCTGGCTGGACCTCTCCTTTTTAGGCTGCCCCTGTGTGAGTGCAGGCTCTACTCAACATCACCTGGACTGTCAATCATCTGTCCTAAGCCTTCCTTTACAAAACTTCAAGCTTTCTGGAAGTGTGATATTACAGCCAGCATTATAGTGGCTTTTTCAAAAATTCATAGTTTAAGAAAGTTTATTGTGTACTTAACTACAAGCACAGCTTTTGGCTAGTTGTGTTACACAGGCACAAAGAAGTATAAAATACATGAGACAGGTTATTTTTTTAAGCCTACAGTGAAAATGAGAACATGTGACTAATCATTAGAAACAAATAGAAGGCCAAATGTCACAAGAGAGGCATTGGCCAAGTTGGGACTGGGAGGGGGATATAGAGGTGGAATTAAAGGAAGGAAAGATGCCACCCCGATGGAAGGAATCCAAGAAACTGGGATACTTTTGGTCTAGTATGTATGTAAGTATGGTAGGTAGGAAAAACTGAGTCTTTGTGGGTGAAAAATGTAGATTTCAGGCAAAGGATGTGAGTGAAATTATAGAGCAGGGATAATGTGGGGCAGTTTGAACTCTGAGTAGAGTACTGTTTGAGAAACTGTAGAAGATAACACCAGAATTTGTAAGTCAGCTCGTGTTTCTCTTCAAAACGTATAGCTTCTCATCTTATTTAGAGAAAAAGTCAGAGTCCCTGTTGGCCCACAGGCTACTATACAGTATTCTCCTCTGCCTCCCAATTCTCATTCCCTATTCCCAAGACTCTCTTCCTTGTTCCCACTTCTCTAGCCATATTGGTCTCCTTGATCTGGCCAATAGGGCTTATACTTCAGGGCCTTTTTCCCCTGCCTGAAGCTCTCTTCTCCTTCCTGACTACATGGCTTACTCCTCTTTCAGGCCACCTTTATCACAGAGGCCTGTCCTGACCTCTATATCAAAACTCTTCCTCCCCACTCCAGCCACTCCACACTCCCCTTAGTTTGCTTTATTTAGTTTACTTCACAATACTTAGGAAGTATGTACATAGGATATCTGTATATGTTTACTTGTTAATTATTGTATTTTGCTATTAGGGCATGATGGGGTACAGGAAATGCCACCCCAAAATATGGCACCTTGGCATACTGAGTATTTTAAGCTGAAGGCAATTAAGAAAACCAAAGAAGCAGAAATATCATTCTCACCTTCTCTTTCTCCTTCATTGATCTTCTCTAATGTTTTTCCCTGAGTCCATGAAAAGAATTCTCTGATCTGCCTTCCCTGAAAGTAGGTCATAAGACCCTCATGTGACAAGTCTCCTGCCCTATATACCTGGAGGAGAGGAATGTAGACACAGAGATACAGAGAAAAATCTGAACAGTCCTTGCTGAGTTCCCCTCAGTACCATTAGGTCATACCTGCTTTTTGTCCAGTTACACTTCTGTAAGACTGTCCATTCTTCATCAAAGCTCAACATAAAATAGAAAGTTTTCCCTGGGTCTTTGGGTCTTCATTTTTGAAAGCATCCATGTCATGTAAAATTTTGGTTAAATAAACTCGTTGTGTTTTTTTCTTGTTAATATGTCTTTTGCTTTAGGGATGTCAGCTATGAACCTTGTGATAGATGAGGAAAAGATATTACTTTTTCTCTTCTACAAGTGTATGTTCCCTAAGGGAGAGGATTTACTTATTGTTGTATCCCCAGACCAGTACCTGGCACATAGCTCATACTCAAATATTTACTGGACAAAAAAGAAAATGAGAGCAGGAAAAGGGTGTGAGGGAGGGAGAGGGAGTTGGATGTAAGTACTATAGGATTTTGTATTCCAGGCAAGGGAATAAAAAATTAATTCATTAGTCTGTGGGTAGCCATTGAAGGGTTTGAACAGAGGGGTAAAAGCAAAAGGATTTAATTTAGGAAGATTAATTTGGTGATGATGTATAGTATGGATTTTTTTTTTTTTAAGTCTCATCAACTTCTCCCTCTTCCTCACCCCAATCCAGCACTCTGTAATATACCTACCTGTATGTGCTTTTCTAAAAAGAAAAAAAAAAGAAAACTTTTAATTTTAAAATAGTTTGACTTATAAGAAATTGCTAAAATAGTACTGTGAATGCTCTTTGTGTACTTTCCCCCCTCTTTCCTCTAGTGATAATATCTTACATTACTGCAATACGTTGTCAAATACAGGAAAATGATGTTGGTACAATACTATTAAACTCAGGGACAGACCTTAGTTGGATTTCATCAGATTGTACATGCACCCTTTTTGTGTGTATATATATTCTATAAAATTTTGTCACATGTATAGATATGTGTTATTTAATGTTTGTAGGTCTCTGAGGTTTTTGACAAAGTAAGCATTAGAATATCTTCTTTAATACCATTCTCCTGGTTCTTGGCCTGTCATCATTTACACATGAATAAAGGGAATGGCCTGTTGTTTTAATTCATTGTTCTGCTTTGGTGTTTTTTGTAGTTAGGTAGCCTTTCCTTTCTACACCAAAGACACTTAAAATTTTACTTCACCAGTATTGACAAATCATATCCCAGTCAAATCATTTTATAGACATCCATCGGTACATTAGGTAGATTGGTTCCAGGACACTCCCTCCCCACCTTCCACTCATACACCAAAATCTGCACATACTGGGCTCTGTAGAACAGAGTACAAAAACTTAGCCCTCTGTATACTCAGGTTTCACATCCTGGGAATACTGTATTTTCAATCCATGTTTGGTTGAAAAAAATTCACTACAAGTAAACCTGCATAGTTCAAACCCATGTTGTTCTAGGGTCAACAGTATTTACTAGGTCTTAATTTTTAAATTTTTAGAAAACCAGTATATTATATTATTTCTATTGATCATTTGTCTACTTAGCAATCCTTCAAATCCTTTCTGATAGTAAAATATTTCTCTAATATGTTAATAGGGTTCTGAAGTTTTTTATGGTTTTTTTTTTGGGGGGGGGCTATACAGACCTACTAATTAGAAATATATTTCTGGTAAGTAATTTACCAACAATTTCAGAATTGGAAAGGGTGATGGGTAGAGAGAGATTAACTAATTGTTTAAAGTCTTTTATTCATTGTTTCTAACTTTCTTAGATGTTCTGCTAACCATATTATTTTACCAAAACCTGACCATATTAGTTTTTATATATTGTGGGACATATTTAAGTGATTTATGGGCTTTCCAAAACAAAGTGTTGAAGTTTAAATCTTATAGTTTAATTCCTACAGCTGTGCTATATATATTTATATATGTGGTCTATATGAGCTAGATCGCTATATGTACTATTATATACTTATATGTTGCTGATGTTTAAAGTAGTAATTGATGGTCTTTAATAGGTTTCTGAATTGGATTGATATGCCTGCCTGTGTATGACAGATGAAGAAAAATCAATGTCTATCTGAATGTACTTGGTATATTTCTTACAGGTTCTGAGTTCTGTCCGCACAGAATGGGACCCACTGGATGTTTGCTTTGGCATCAAACAGCCTTATCAGGTGTTCACAGTGGAACGTTCCATTAGTGTAGACAAAGAGCCCATGGCTGACAGCTGCATCTATGAATGTGTTTGGAACAAAATCCAGTGTGTGTCAGTCACCAGAATACCACTAAAATCTAAGGCCATCAGCTGCTGCAGGAATGTTACTGAAGACAAACTAATTCTGGGCTGTGAAGATTCTTCAGTAATTCTTTATGAAACTCACCGTAGAGTGACTCTCTTAGCTCAGGCTGAACTTTTGCCTTCATTAATAAGCTGCCACCCAAGTGGTGCCATTCTGCTAGTTGGCAGCAACCAAGGGGAGTTGCAAATTTTTGATATGGCTCTCTCTCCTATTAACATCCAGCTCTTGGCTGAAGACCGCTTACCCAGGGAGACTCTGCGGTTCAATAAGTTCTTTGATGTTCCCAGCAGTCTTGTTCAAATGCAATGGATAGCTCCTCAGGTTGTTTCACAGAAGCCTGAAAGTGGTGACATCTGTGATCTCCTCTTCCTCAGGTTTGACAGAGGACCTTTGGGTGTGCTTTTGTTTAAACGAGGTAAGTCAAGGAAGTTGGTGAGTAAGTAAAGTGTTTATGATGCTGACATAATTAAGACAATAAAACTATTCTTGGAATATAGATTTTTCTTTTTGTCTTTCCATGAATATGTTTGTCTTTCAAACATTTCATATAGTTTTCTTAGAAATGATTTGTGTATGATTTTCTAACTTTCAAAGGAATATTAGATATTTAAGCATTTGGAAATTATACTAATTGTGAATCATGATGTTTAAAAAGTCTTAACTTTCACATTTGATACTCTCTACAATAAACTGTCTTACTAAAAAATATGTGAATATTTAAAAAGTACTTACTGTGTCCATTGAATAAGTCCATGTTGTAGGAATGTAATATTTTTTCTATAAAAATTAGGTTGTTGGTGTCTATTGCTTTCCAGATTGGAATTGTGTGAAGCAAGTGTCTTAAAATTGTAAAAAGCAGATGTTTATTTAGAAATACTGAAGATATTTGCATAACTTTTTGGTTTTGTTTCCCTTTTGGATAAAAATATTCAAAAGGATTTTTCAATATATCAAAATGATATGTTAAGAGACCTTAAAATGAAATTTTATTATGATGAGTCATTTGCCTTTTGTAGTTTTGCATTAACAGTTATGCCCTGAAATATATAATACACTTCAGGTAGTTTTCAGTAATTTAACATTCTTGTGAGAACCTTGGGTTTTTTTTTTTTTTTTTTTGAGACAGAGTCTCGCTTTGTTGTCCAGGCTAGAGTGAGTGCCGTGGCGTCAGCCTAGCTCACAGCAACCTCAAACTCCTGGGCTCGAGCGATCCTTCTGCCTCAGCCTCCCGAGTAGCTGGGACTACAGGCATGCGCCACCATGCCCGGCTAATTTTTTATATATATATATCAGTTGGCCAATTAATTTCTTTCTATTTATAGTAGAGACGGGGTCTCGCTCTTGCTCAGGCTGGTTTTGAACTCCTGACCTTGAGCAATCCGCCCGCCTCGGCCTCCCAAGAGCTAGGATTACAGGCGTGAGCCACCGCGCCCGGCCAGAACCTTGGGTTTAAAAAATTTTTTTTGTATTAATGTGCATTATGTCTACTTGAGAACACAGAAATGTGAATACATCTTAAAACCCTTTACAACTGTAGTCCCCAATCCCTGGGCCACCTACCAGTACCAGACTGTGGCCTGTTAGGAACTGGGCCACACAGCAGGAGGTGAGAGGCAGGTGAGCCAGGGAAGCTTCATCTGCATTTACAGAAGTTCCCCATCGATAGCATCAATGCTATCACTGCATAAGCTCCACCTCCTGTCAGATCAGTGGTGCCATTAGATTCTCATAGGAGTGCAAACCCTATTGTAAACTGTGCATATGAGGGATCTAGGTTGCACACTCCTTATGAGAATCTAATGCCTAATGATCTGAGGTGGAGCTGAGACAGTGATTCTAGTGCTGGGGAGCAGCTGCAAATACAGACTATCATTAGTAGAGAGGTTTGACTGCACAATAAATGTAATGTGCTTAAATCATCCCCAAACCATCTCCCTCCATCCCCTCAGTCTGTGGACAAATTGTCTTCGATGAAACCTGTCCCTGGTACCAAAAAGGTTGGGAACCGCTGCTACAAGATTTGGCTCTATGGTACAAAGTTAAATTTTTAAAGACATTGTAATATTTGTTAAATAGCTTTCAATTCACTTTTTAAAAAAATGGATCTACTTATCTCTGAAATTGAACACATCACATAAATCTAGTGAAAATGAGTTGATTAACCTGAAAGATACAAGGCACATAAAGTGAGGTCTATGTTCTTTCCACATAATAAATTGCAGCTAAACCTATTCATAATGTTAATATTGTCAAGAAAAAAATGTTTGGAATCTCATTTATTATGAGATAATCCAGTTATTCTTTGCCTGACTACATGTTTAACAGTTGTATTTCTCCATACACAACACTAATTAAAAGTGGATGTTTGATGTTTTATGTTTGTTAAAACACACACACGCACACACACACGCACACGCACACATATTTTCTCTCTTCCTCAGTCTCTGTCTCTCAGTCTCTCCTTTTCACCCTCTGAATTACTCAGTTACCTGTCAAATAGAAGGCTGTCTGCCACATACACCTAGCTTTTCTTTAGCCCTCCCTGTGGGCCTACTCACAACAGCTTTGCAAAAAGCACAGCTTTCTCTTCCTATCTCTAGCACATTTGCCTTCTTACTAAAGTAAACAGGCTCTCATTGTAGGGATTTAGAGGGCTTCCTGCTAATTGCCAGCTTGTAAACTTAATTGGACTGTCTCCCTGGGCACTGTTCCTAAATCAATTAGGCAATGAGTTGGCTGTCACCTCTTTTTCCCCAAGAAAGTCTCTTGGAAGAGAATTATTCTATAGAAGTAAGCATTCAAATGAAAAGGTGATAACTTTTCGACTGACATTTATCATTTAAATTTTGTCTTCAATATGACTTTTAAGTTTTATGGGATAGAGAAATTATACGGTCTTATAGACTCTTTAAAAGATCTAAATATGGAATTTCCAAGGATTTTTAAATTTTTTTTTCATTTTTAATGTATTATAAGATTAATATTTATTACAAATTATTTTTCCTGGGAAGAGTAGTTTCCTTGAAATAGAAGATTGCAACTGGCAGATTTTTTTTAAAGAAAACTCAGTTTAAAGAACAGATTTTTCTTATGATCTGCTACTAAATACATCCAAAAAAATTAATATACTTCTTGAATTAACACAGTGCTGATTCTGGGCATCCATGTGGAATTTTCATGTATAATTCAAGTTACTGCATATATAAACAGGTAGTTGCATGTGCAGTTTCCCCACTAGGGAGCATTTATGAGATTTTTTTTCAGATGCTTGTTATGCAAGCCTTTGGAAAATTTGACATGAAAGGTGTAGCTTACAATTTAAAATTGTAAAGATAGATCATAGATCGTGGTTTAAAATAGAAAGCTGTCATATGTAAACGTAGCAGTGGCTAATGCCAATATGCTAAGATTTTTGGAGTTTCACTCTTAGATTAGGTCAGTTAGTATAATGTTGAAGGAAAACTGCTTCAAGGCTAGAGCTTCCATTCTTAATCCTTTAGAATGATTATAGAAATGTGTTGAGCATTAAAAGGCTATCACCACTGTTATTAGAAGAATTCAAAGATTATGTCTTCTTCAAGAGGCGACTAGAGGCCGCGTGGAAGCCAAGAAATATTGTTTTTTTTTTTGTTTTTTTTTTGAGACAGAGTCTCACTCTGTTGCCCAGGCTAGAGTGAGTGCCGTGGCGTCAGCCTGGCTCACAGCAACCTCAATCTCCGGGCTCAGCGATCCTACTGCCTCAGCCTCCCGAGTAGCTGGGACTACAGGCATGCGCCACCATGCCCGGCTAATTTTTTGTATATATGTATATATTTTAGTTGGTCAATTAATTTATTTCTATTTTTGGTAGAGACGGGGTCTTGCTCAGGCTGGTTTCGAACTCCTGACCTTGAGCAATCCACCCGCCTCGGCCTCCCAAAGTGCTAGGATTATAGGCGTGAGCCACCACGCCCGGCCAGAAATATTGTTTTATATAAAGCAATATGTATTCAGAATTTCTTTATGTGACAATTATCACATATTTCCACATACATAGACTGACATTAATTTTAAAAAGAGGCCCTAATTATACTACTGAGATATTAAAGCTCTTCCATTCTCATGGGTACCTTTTCTAACCTTCACTGCTCTCTTTAAACTCACATAATCAGCTTCCTACCCTCACCAGAGGATCTCACCTTTTAATTGGCACTTCATTAAGTTTATCTACTCCTCACCACCCCCACCTACCCACCCAACCGCTCATCTGTTAAATATATGGACATGAGTTTTTCCCTTTCCATTCAGTGAAAGAAGCCCAGTTTCTTGTCCAAGAGTAGTTCCATCACTACTTCCATTGTGGATCCTATAACATTCCCTTTGATACCTTTATTTTGTCACCTTCCCCATCCCATTAATCTTGCTATGTCAGCAGACAAATAGGCCCAAGCCACACCATAAAAACCAACAAAACTCTTCCTTAAAATTGTTTCTCCTTTGTTATGAATCAAATATTCACCTTCCTTTTATAACCAAACTAATTGAAATAATAGTGAGCACTGCCTTTCTCTGCTTCTTCACTACTTATTCCTCAGGGCACTGTATTCTGTGTCTTCAATGTTTTCATGGATTGCTCTTGGGAAAGGCACCGGTGACTTTATACTTGATACATATATTTCTCTTATGTTGCTTGATGACTTTTCAGCATTTGATGGTTGCTGACCATGTCAACTGTCATAGAATTCTCACTGTACTTGTCCTCTGTGACCTTGAATGCAACTTTCCATCACTTTTTATACTCTTCTGCCTACTCATGAAAATGTTCAGGTTCTCCAGGGTTCCATTTCTAGCTCTTCTCTCATTTTGTACAGATTGAGAGTATATTTTTAATTTAGTCATCCCATCTCTGACCCTACCCCAGACCACTCCTGACTCCACATCCACATATTCACCTGACTTGCTGGATATTTTTACTTGGGTGTACACAAGTGCCTCAGACTCATGTGCAGACATGAAGTCGTCATCTCTCTCCCTAAACCTGCTTTTTCTCAGTATCCTTTGTTTTAGTGGATGGTACAATTATTCAGATGGAACATAAAGTCAAAAATCATTCTAGAGACTGCAAAGGCAGTCCTAATTTGCATTTCCCCCATGTCTATGGGAGTTAAGTATCTTTCCATGTGAATATTTGCCACATATCTTCTTTGGTGAAGTGTATCTTGAAATCTTTTCCCCAAATTAAATGAGATTGTTTACTTTTTCTATCCCTAAGTATTTCTGTATTGTAAACATAAAGTCAAAAATCATTCTAGAGACTGGTGCTGGCAAAAAGCTGAAGGAATAAAGATTCTTCAGTGACATTTTCTGCAGTCATCGTTTGTTTTTTTTCACAAGAAGATTAATAAACTTAAAAACTTTCATATGAAAAAAAAAGTC